TGATAAATGTGTTAATGGTGTGATAATTGTGTTAATGATGTGATAATTGTGTTACCAGGATGATAAATGTGTTAATGGTGTGATAATTGTGTTAATGGTGTGATAATTGTGTTACCGGGGTGATAAATGTGATAATGATGTGAAAATTGTGTTACCCGGGTGTATTATACCTTTTAAATTGAAAAGTTTGATATGTTATCACATATGATAAACCGGATGTGTATATGTATATGGATACTGTTTGGTTCATTTTTCATTAAATTGAATTATGTAAATGATGCAGCAACAACTGCTTTTGACACCCAAAATCTTGATGCCACGACTTACCAGTGATCACAGGAGCTGTGATAATGGTGTGATAGATGTGTTAATTGTGTGATAAATGTGTTAATTGTGTGATAAATGTGTTAATGGTGTGGTAATTATGTGATAAATGTGTTAATGGTGTGATAAATGTGTTAATATAATTGTGTTACCGGGTTGATAAATGTGATAATGGTGTGATAAATGTGTTAATGGTGTGATAATGGTGTGATAAATGTGATAATGATGTGATAAATGTGTTAATGGTGTGATAAATGTGATTGATATATATAATTTGATCAAAAAGCAAGTGGATTGCTAGCAAATCTCAACTCAAACTACTTCTGCATCTCTTAAAGTGGTGTTTAGGTAGTGATGAAGTGTTAGTTCATATGATAGGAAAATGCAAATGCAAATGGAGAATTTTGCGGTAAACTTTGCTTCCTATATGTTTAAGTATGTTACTCCTTTATACTAAAGTTATTGTGTTTATTTGATAATCAAATGTGATCTAGTTAATCATGTGATAAATATATGCATATGTTAGTGTCAAGTAGTTGGATGAACTTATATCTGAGCGCCTTCCATAGCGAATATTAGGTTAGAAAGGATTAACTCGACTTTTGTATTAGGCCGGTGTGCGTCCACTTGTCTATTCATATACGGTGAACATATTTTTTCTCCTGCCTTTGAAGCTCTTGGACCAATGGGACCAGTGTATATCTCACTTATTGGTTTCACATTAGAAACCACATCATCGTCCTCTTTATTAGGAGCAGTTTCCTTCGGCTCAGCAACTTCTTCGAACTCTTGGGTGAGACCTAAACTAAAATCCGGCATCTGTAACTTCTCATATATTTTAATTGTTTTGTCTACCCCCTTAATTGTTTCTGGATTTGAGAAGAATTGTGTCGGTGTCTCAACAATCTCTTGTGCGCCCCCCGTAACACCTTGCCATGGATCACTAGTTGATGCTTGTTTTGTTCCACAACTTTTAGCAAGTGACATGTTCATTGACGTATCGACGTCCATTTTGTCAATTACTACCAAATCTATCAACTTTTTTTTCCCAAACATCAAACTCCACAGAGTTGGGGTATTTAGTCCTTCATTTTTTTTTAGAATCTGATCGAAATCGCTCTTCAATGTCTTGAACATATTGAAAGTGTGTTCGACCTCATCCAAGTATCTCTGCACAAACCGACAAACAAATGACATGTGAATGTATTTTGAAAGTAGTTATTTAATTTCTTACTTTATGAAAATCATTTGTTAACTATGGTGCKTATATGTGTTAAGTAAACTRTGATAACCATGTGATAAATAAGCAATGTGGTCATKTTTTACATTATACATTAATCAATTTTGTCGTAACTAGGTTGTGATATGCAAGAAAACTAAAATTCATTTGCATTAACGTAACTAGATTTGTGATAAGTCACATGATTTGTAATTTGTGATAATGATGTGATTACTATATGCATAATTTTGTGATAAGCATGTGATAAGCAAGACATATTAATTGGTGCAAAATATTGATTTAACTGTAATTTAAAACAATACAAATAAGTGATTTTAACAGCGATATCACAGAAAATCACTAATTTAACCATATCGTATGTTTATCACAYCCATATTGCATGATGTATGTATGTGATACATAAGCTATGTAATTATGTGATGAATAAGATATATCAATTCATTCAGAATATTGTTTTCACTAAAATATAAAACAATGCAAATTAGTGTGTTATCATCTTTACCTTAATGTCAATTTCTTCGTTCTCTCTTGGTCTATCTTCATGTTGTTCATCAACCAATGTTTCTGCTACATTGCCAATCCCGAAACCACCGGTAGAAAGTTCTATTGATTCTCGTCTTCTAAGAAGGTCCATCGACCAACTTGCAATACATGGTCTTTCGCGTATCATGTGCACAGCATCACATCGAATGGTGTCGACGTACAGAAGCTTCATTTAAAARTGYAAGAARTAAAATTCYCGTCCCAATTTATATTTCGTGATTATTCATTCACAATAAATAACCATTGATAATAAG